TCTGCTCTTGCCGAGTCAGGCAAACCAAATACATATCTTATTTCCTTATCCTCTAAATGGGTCATTGATTCTGGTGCCACAGATCATATGACAGGTAATCCTCGTCTTTTTTCAACATATCAGTCACATAATTCCTCGTCTAATATTACTTTAGCAGATGGGTCAACTTCTTGTGTTCTTGGGTCTGTGTCTATTAACCCTACTCCGTTAATTTTCCTATCCTTTGTATTGAGTCTACCACAGTTTGCTTTTAATTTAATTTCTGTGAGTAAACTCACTCGTGCTCTTAAATGTTGCGTCTCATTTTTCCCTGATCATTGCCTATTTCAGGATCTTACGATGAGGCAGATTATTGGTAAAGGACATGAATCTGAATGGCTCTACATCCTTGACACACAGGTGCCTAGAATCATTGCATGTTCCAGTATTTCGACCTCTTTTGAGGTGCATTGTCGGTTAGAACATTCTTCTTTACCATTGTTAAAGAAACTATGTCCTCAGTTTAATAATTTATCTATGTTAGATTGTGAGTCATGTCAATTTGCCAAACACCACCGTCTTCCTTCAAGTCCAAGAGTCAATAAACGGGCTAGTGTCCCTTTTGAATTAATTCATTCAGATGTTTGGGGTCTGTGTTCTATTATGTCTAAACCTGGATTTAAATATTTTGTTACCTTTGTTGATGACAACGCTCGTGTAACTTGGCTTTATTTAATGAAAAATCGTTCTTTCTCATTTTTGTGCCTTTTGTGTTGAAGTTAAAACTTAATTTAATACTTTTGTCTAGGCATTAAGAAGCGATAATGCCAAAAAATATTTTTTGAGTTCTTTTCCGTCTTATATGAGTCAACATGACATTCTTCATCAATCCTCTTGTGTTGACACACAGTCCCAAAATAGAGTAGCCGAGAGGAAAAATAGGCACCTTCTTGAAACCGTCTGAGCCCTATTATTTCAAATGCAAGTTCCTAAACAGTTTTGGGCCGATGAAGTTTCCACGACTTGTTTTTTAATTAACCGCATGCCTTCATCTATTCTGAATGGATCCACTCCTTACAGTGTCCTCTTCCCGTTTAAGCCTTTGTTTCCTATTACACCAAATATAATTGGTAGTAATTGTTTTGTTCGTAATGTTTGACCTCAGGTAACCAAATTAGATCCCAAATCTCTTAAATGTGTTTTTCTAGGTTACTCTCGCCTTCAGAAAGGATATCGATGTTATTGTCCTAGTCTTAATAGATATTTGGTGTCACCTGATGTCACTTTCTTAAAAAACATCTTTTTTTTTTCCTACTTTGTCTACCTATACAAGTCAGGGGGAGGACGATGACTTACTAATCTACACTGCCACATCCCTACCGGCTACTCCTACACCTGAGGCTTCCCCACCTACTGTTCCTCCTCCGGCACCACTTCCTGTCCGTCCACTACCTCCAATTCGCATTGTCTATTCTCGTCGACAAGAACCTTATGTACAAGTCCCTTCGTCATCAGATCCAGTCTCCAGTGATCCAGATACTTGTGTTCCTCGTTAGGAAGACCTTCAGAATTCATGTCCTGCACAAGACACTTCGTCTTTGGATCCAACCTTGAATGATCTTGATCTTCCTATTTTTCTTCGGAAAGGTAAACATCAGTGTACTTATCCTATCTTTTCATTTGTTTTTATGATCACATATCATCTTCTTCTTGTTCTTTTGTGGCATCACTAGATTGTCTCCCTTTCTGCAACTGTTCATGAAGCCTTATCTCATCCTGCCTGACATGATGCTATGATAGAAGAGATGATGGCTTTACATGTTAATGGTACTTGGACCTTGGTTGATTTACCTACTGGAAAGAGACCTATTGGATGCAAATGAGTGTTTGCTGTTAAAGTAAATCCTAATGGGTCAGTGGCTAGGCTTAAAGCTCGTCTTGTAGCTAAAGGCTATGCTCAAACTTATGGAGTGAATTATTCTGACATTTTTCCCCTGTGGCTAAATTGACTTATGTTCACTTATTTATCTCTATGGCGACTACTCATTCTTGGCCATTACATTAGTTGGACATCAAAAATGCCTTTTTATATGGTGACCTTCAGGAAGAAGTCTATATGGAGCAACCACACGGGTTTGTTGCTCATGGGAGTATGAGAAATTTTTCATCTTCGCAAATCATTGTATGGTTTGAAACAGATTCCTCGTGCTTGGTTTGGAAAGTTCAGTCAGGTAGTTGAAAAGTTCAGAATGACAAAGAGCAAGTCTGATCACTCAATCTTTTACAAACAATCGGCAGTTGGCATTATTCTTCTTGTCATATATGTTGACGACATTATCATCACTGGGAGTGACACTGTAGGGATTTCATTACTTAAGTCATTTCTTCACACCCAGTTTCATACAAACGATTTAGGAGTGTTGAAGTATTTTTTGGGGGTTGAGGTAACAAGGAGCAAGAAAGACATCTTCCTCTCTCAAAGGAAATATGTACTTGACTTATTAACCGAGACAGGAAAATTGGGAGCTAAGCCATACAGTATGCCAATGTTTCCTAATTTGCAACTTACCAAAGATGATGACCTGTTTGAAGATCCTGAGAGGTATAGAAGACTGGTTGGAAAAGTTGAACTATCTAACAGTCACTCGTCCTGATATTACGTACTCTGTCAGTGTAGTAAGTCAATTCATGTCTTCTCCTACGGTTGACCATTGGGTAGCGTTAGAGCAGATTCTATGTTATCTGAAAGGAGCTCCAGGACGTGCTATTTTGTTCGAAAATCATGGACATAATAATATTGACTGCTTCTCTGATGCAGATTAGGCGGGTTCCAAGATAGATAGGAGATCCACTACGGGCTACTGTGTTTTTGTTAGTGGAAATTTGGTCTCATGGAAAAGTAAGAAACAAATTGTTGCGTCTCAGTCTAGTGTAGAATCGGAATATAGGGCTATGGTCTAGTCTGTGTGTGAAGTAATATGGATATATCAGTTTTTGACTGAAGTTGGTCTTATGACCTCTTTGTCGGCGAAATTGTGGTGTAATAACCAACCCGCTCTTCATATTGCTTCTAATCCTATATTTCATGAACGAACTAAGCACATTGAAATTGACTGTTATTTCATTCGTGAGAAAATATAGCAAGGTTTAATCTCTACAGGATATGTGAAGACTGGAGAGCAATTAGGAGATGCTTTCACTAAAGCTTTGAATGAGGTTCAGATTGATTATATTTGTAACAAGCTTGACATGATTAATGTCTATGCTCTATCTTGAGGGGGAGTGCTGTAGATAATCATGCAAAATCTAATAGATATTGCATGATTAAGTGTATAAATCTATAATATGATATTATGATTGTAATAAATATATATTAAGAACAAATATGTGAAATAGGAAGTTAGATTATTCATTTCCTAGATTAGATTATTTGTTTCCTAGATTAGTTCTTTATTTTTCTATATATTGATATATAATTTATCAATAATAATAATAACAATCAGTTCTCTGTTTTTCACAATAGTAAAGTAGACAGAAATTTGGTGACTTACCATCAAAGTTTGACCTATGAATCAATTGTCTATTTGTGATTGTGATTGTGATTGTGATTGTGAAGTCATTTTCAATGGCAACTTATTCAATTGACATTACTATAAACCCTAAAATCCTTCACAAGAAAACAATTAATCACTTAAAACATAAATTTTAGATATGTACAATCACAATGATTCAATTTAAAAATAAGATGTTTGAATTTACGACTCATTCTTTCATTATAAGACATTCATTTGGCCTCTATCAAAATTTTTGATGACCCTTTAGCTTGAAAATTTGACTGGAGGGAAACTGTAATAATCTGAGCTCAGTTAAGGAGATATTGTTTATCTTAGGTTACATCTACCTTGATTCGCTTCTGGGTTTCACACAAACATCATTCACCGAATTATTTTTAGAAATATATTAGACAAAAATGAGCTAGTCAATATCTTCTCGAAATCGTAAATTTATGAAATTTATGATTGGGATAGTTGGGATTCTTCTTCTTATATTAACTCTCCCACCTATTATTTCACCTTTTTGGTCATTTCCCTAACTAGTTTAGCATCTAGATTTTTTTTTCATTAAATTAGTTCAACAATATTGGTTGAGAAAAGGCAATTTTTGTACCCAAATTTGACAATGCATTTACTTAAAGTAATAAACATACCTGAAGTCTATTGACTTTGTGTGAAATTGAGAGACTTGGTACTTATAATAAGGAATAATTAACATGCAAACAATCACTTTTCAACTTTAAATTCAAAATGAACTCATTTTCTAAATTAAAATAATTATTTAAAAAATAAAAAAATAGATATTAATAAATACATATAGTAAATACTTTAATAATAATATCATTCTTCATTAATAATTTAAGATACTAAATAAATAGATATTAATTAAGGTGACAACTGGCTTGATATTACCAAATCTTTATCTTTATTTAAAGATACTTTGATAATCTTGTTCAAGAATATTAGCTTCAACTATATTGTATCTTATTCTAAACCAAACTATTTTTAATTCTTAATTTACCATCCATAGATCGAAATACCTTATTGTACATAGGTTGGATTGATTATGATCTATTAGTGGTGTACTTGTATGGATCATATTGCATTACTTCATACAAATTGGATTGATTCAATTTAGTAATCGAGACGTAACGTTGATTGATGGATCTAATTGTTAAGAAAAGAGATAACATTACACTATATGATTTGGATTGAATTAATTAAACTATGATATAAAGTTGGGACGAATATAATATTTTACAAAATAGTAAGATTTATGCAAATTATATGTAAAATTTGTCCATAAATCACTCCTCAATGTAATAAAAAGAGACAAAAGACAGAACATGAGTATGAAGTGTGTAGTAAAAAAAAAAGTAAATCCCAAGACAAAACACATAAAAAGCAGGATCAACTTGAGAGTTTCCTCACCTTTTTCACCTTGTTATGTTCCAAAAGAAAATACAAAGAACACATTTTTACGCTCAAAGATTCAACTTTCAAAGCTCTTTGATTTGAGGCGCCAACTCAAAAAGTAAAATCCAAACCCCCCCACCCCCTCGAAAAAAAAAAAAAAAAAAAAAAACCCTAATGAGTCAGTGAGTGTGTGAAGAAGAAAATATTACTTGAGTTGAGCCCCACTGTGTCAGTTTCTCCGCAGACTCTTAATCTGAATCTGTGAAAAGAGTCTTTGCTTCCCATCTGAACAAACCTTTTAAACTCAATAAATGTCTCTGCTTGTTCTTGATTAAAGTTTCAATTTTGAATGATTTTGTGTGTCTGATTGATGAAATGGGAATGTGGGTATTGTTGTGAGGTGAGTTTTGGTTAGTGGGTAGTTTTTGATCTTTTGTTGGTTTGAGATTAAGAATGGCTGAAATGAGAGGCAGGATTCAGTTGAGGAGAGAGCTGACTCAAATAAAGAAAGCATCCAGGGTTTTGCGTGATCCGGGGACAACTTCATCTTGGAAGTCACCATTGAGTTCATCCAGATCTATAGCAGCAGCAGTAGCAGCAGCTTCGGGGTCTGGTTCTTCTGGTTGGAAGAACAACAAGCAATTGGTTGATGAAAACACCAATGTGAATGTGAATGGGAGTGGGAGAGAGAAGAAGGTGTTTCTGTATAATTGGAAGAATCACAAGTCCTCAAGTGAAACAAGTGTAATTGCAAGAAATGATGAAGAAGAAGATGATGTTGATGAGGACGATGAGGATGAAGGGTCTTCTTCAGTTATTGAGAGTTTTGATGATAGTTTGAGTGATGCAAGAAATGGTGGTGGTGGTGGTGGCGGCATTGATTCAAAGAGTGACACTTATTTGGGCGATAAGAGGTATTCTTCAATGATTTTCAGGTGTAGAGATGTAAATCTTGTCTCTTTGGCAACTCCATCTATGAGAAGAGCTATGGGAGCTAAGAGGAAGAGTAAGATAACTAATTCCCATTTAGATTCTTTATCTAGATATCATAAAAAACAACTTGTTCTTGCTAGGAATTCAGTTAATTCTAATTCAAGACTGCGAGCAGATCATCCTTCAATGGCATTAGGTTTAGGCAGGGATGAATCTGTTGAGCAATCTGATGATACTGAAGACTATTGTAATTCGGAAGACTTACGTAAATATAAATATTCGGGGGCTTCCCCATTTCTTTTAAAACTTAAGCATAAGAATTGGTCACATTCATCATCTAAATTTTTGAGAAGTAGCAGGAGAGAAGACTCTTCTTATTCTTATAGTACACCTGCATTGTCAACTAGTTCTTATAGTAGGTATGTTAATCGAAATCCAAGCGCTATTGGATCTTGGGATGCCACAACAGCATCATTGAATGATAATGATGATGAAGTGGATGATCATTTGGATTTTCCGGGTCGTCAAGGATGTGGGATTCCCTGCTATTGGTCTAAGAGGACGCCGAAACATAGAGGGGTCTGTGGGAGTTGTTGCTCTCCTTCCCTTTCAGATACTTTACGGAGGAAAGGGAGTAGCATATTCTGTGGGAGTCAGAGTATGTATCATGGAAGAAGACGTTTGTCATCCATTTCTAATAAACGGAGAATGGCTTCTAGAAGCGCTCAAGGTATTCTGCCATTACTTACCAACAGTGGTGATAGGAGAGCAGGGTCATCCATAGGAACTGGGCATAGTGATGACGAGCTCTCAATGAACTATGGGGAGCTGGATTTGGAAGCATTAAGTAGACTGGATGGAAGGAGGTGGTCATCAAGCTGTAGGAGTCAAGATGGGCTTGAGATTGTGGCCCTAAATGGAGGAGGAGAAGAGGATGGTACACTGGAAAACATAAGGAGTCTGAGCCAGAAATATAAGCCAATGTTCTTTGATGAATTGATTGGACAGAGTATTGTGGTTCAATCGCTTGCAAATGCTGTTTTAAGGGGAAGAATTGCTCCTGTTTATCTATTTCAAGGTCCTCGAGGGACTGGGAAAACATCAACAGCTAAGATCTTTGCTGCAGCTCTAAATTGTCTGGCTACTGAAGAAACAAAGCCATGTGGGTTCTGTAGAGAATGCACAGATTTCATCTCTGGAAAAAGCAGGGATTTCTTTGAAGTTGATGGCACTAATAAGAAAGGAATTGATAGAGTTAGGTTCCTTTTGAAAAACCTGTCAATTGAGCCCCCATTGGCCTCTTCACGGTATAGGGTTTTTGTTATTGATGAGTGTCACTTGTTGCCCTCTAAGACATGGCTGGCATTTCTCAAATTTCTTGAAGAACCACCACAGCGAGTTGTGTTCATATTCATAACAACTGATATTGACAATGTGCCCCGAACCATACAATCACGGTGTCAGAAGTACCTTTTCAACAAAATAAAAGATGGTGACATTGTAACCAGGTTGAGGAAAATTTCTGCTGAAGAGAATCTGGATGTTGAATTGGACGCATTGAATTTGATTGCTTTGAATGCTGATGGTTCTCTTCGAGATGCAGAAACAATGTTAGACCAGCTGAGTTTGCTGGGAAAAAGAATAACTACATCTCTTGTAAACGAACTTGTGAGTTTCTCAACATTCCTCTTTTGACACGTTTTGCTTCAGTTTTTGTTTTTAACTTTTCTGCAAAAAGATCAGTTGAAGAAACAATAACTATTTCATCAGTTGAAGAAACAATAACTATTTATGAGAAAAATAAAAGCAACTCTAATGTATAAAAATGCTTTTCTTTTCGTAGTCATTTAGTTGTACATTTAAATGGTTTGAACTTAGTAATCTGTTGTCTTCTCTACAGGTCGGGGTTGTTTCAGATGAGAAGTTACTGGAACTTTTGGAATTGGCAATGTCATCTGACACTGCTGAAACGGTAAAAAGAGCCAGAGAGTTGATGGACTCTGGGGTCGATCCAATGGTTTTGATGTCTCAACTGGCCAGCCTTATAATGGATATCATTGCTGGAACTTACAACATTGGTGGAAGGAGTTGTGAGTATCATCCACTTTAGCTATTTTACTTTTGTTTCTGATAGAGGACAAGCTCTCAAGAGATAGCTAATTCATTCTCTAATAGGATCAATCTGTTGCGTTTGAGATGGCATTTAAAACAATTTATGTAAGGTAATATGGAATCACCATGAACAACAGGATATCATTAATGTCATAAATTGATAACCTGCGTTCAGACAAGGAGAAACATTTGATTCCTTATTAATAGGGTCTAAACTTTTAGGGACTCAGATACTGGCAAACCATATTGTTTTGTGTCTGTAAATAACTTTAGAAGGTGAGTTTTAAGTTATAACAATTTGCCTAAATGTATATCTTCCTTAATAATTTTCATGGACTTGTAGTCAATTAAGCTTAAAATCTAGTGTTCATCAACATTGCTTTTAGAACCTTGGATTGTTGGCTATGATTTTATATATTGTATTAACAGTACCCACCTTCCATCTGTGCTACACTATTTTCTTTTCTTTTTTTGATTTAGCCTCAATTGGAACACGGCATTTCTGATGTAATTTAAACCACCAACATTAAAGAGTCATGCCCTGCTGCAAAGTTAGATTTATATTTTAGTGCTGCTGAAGGTTCTTTCATTCTCAACTCAATTGAGGTTTCTCCAAACTTTTATGTGATAGTCCATTTGTGAATCTTGGAGAAAAAGATAATGATCTCTCCTCATTTCATCCTTTTTGGGAACTCCTTGAGTTTGCTAACTTGTCTCTATTCTAATGCCTGTACATCCGTATAGTTCTGATTTGAATGGTTGGCGTCATTTTCCAGTAACTGAAGCGGAGTTGGAGAGGTTAAAGCATGCTCTGAAGCTTCTTTCAGAGGCTGAGAAACAGCTAAGGGTTTCAAGTGAACGCTCGACATGGTTCACAGCAACTTTATTGCAGCTTGGTTCAGTGCCTTCTCCAGAACTCTCTCTGTCGGGTAGCAGCAGGAGGCAGAGCTCTAAAACAACTGAGGAAGATCCATCAAGCACTTCAAGAGAAGCTACTGTTTACCAGCGGAAATCAGGTGGTGCTCAATATATGCATTGTGGTTCAGCTTCTCCTGCTTCTGTGCAAGAACTATTAAATGGAAATCGCATCCATCAAGGGGAATTATTATCACGGATTGATGATCATAATTCTTATTCCAAGCCATCACATAGCCAATTGAAGGACAGTGGTGCCTTGGCTGCTTCAAATGATAATAGTACAGTTGGCAATAATATTATTACATGCAGAAATTCAGAAAAGCTTGGAGTTATCTGGGCTAAGTGTATCGAAAGGTGCCACTCAAAGACACTGAAGCAGCTATTGTGGGCCCATGGAAAGCTTTTGTCTATCTCTGAAGTCGATGGTAAGCCCATAACTATTCCAGTGAGATTAAATTACAAAAATGCAAAAGAATTTAATATGTAGATGTATGTATGTATCCATACTCTTTTTATTTTAATTAAACCCATTTCTCTTGAACCTCAAGTAGCCGCCTAGGTGCTTCCAGGAAATTTTGATGAAAAGATATGCCTTTGGGCTAAAGATTTTATATATTGGTGAAAGCATTGTAGTTCTGTTGTCTATGCAGTCACTATCTACCAATTTATTTTAGTTCTGTAGATAACTGAATTAAAGATGGGTTCTGGCTAAAATATCACCTCTGTATTGTTTACCGTTCCCTGTAAAGAAAACTTGTCATCAAGCTTACTATCTGGAGTAATACCCTTTAGGTTTTTCCCATCGTTTTCAATTCTTTTTGTAAATGAAGATGGGATCTCACGATTATTAAGTGTAAAATTTCAACTAATATGGCTTCTAATTTGTAGAGTAACATGAGCCATGGTGTACACTGCTTTATCAATTGTAATATCGCCAACTCTTATTTATTGTTTAAATGCAACTTTTAACTGTCATATAATGCTTCACATAGTTCAAATCAGCAAAACTGCAGATAGTGTTGTACAAGAAATTAATCTTGAAGGACAATATTTATGGTCCCCAAAGTTTAATAAAACACTCGGGCTGCAATTGTTTGCAAGGATTTACACATCTGACTTTCAAAAGATTTTTTTGTCATTTGTACATTTCATATCTTTATCCATTTCTGATTCCCTCTTAATGGTTCTCCTTGCAGGTGTTTTAGTTGCCTTCGTTGCGTTTGGAAACAGGGATATTAAATCTAGAGTAGAAAGATTTTTGAGCAGCATTACCAATTCAATCGAAATTGTTCTGAGACGAAATGTAGAGGTTAGAATAGTCCTTTTGCCAGATGGTGAGGTTTCTATAAATGGTGGAATTTTGAGTGATCTACCAAAAGGTCTGAAGCAGACACAAAAAGCGGTAGCAGTTGAGAGAGAAAGAAAGGCAATTTGTTCAAATGCAAACGACAACTATTCTGATTCGGACTCACAACCGATGCCCCGCAAATTATCGAGAGGAAGTTTTAATGAGTTGGAAGGTAAACTTAAAGGATCAGAAGATTATTCTAATTGTTCTCCATTTCAAGCTGGAAATTTTCAATCTACTGGTGGATCATTGGAGTTTCTGGCTGGGGGCAATTGTGAACTTAGTTGTACAAAGGAGAGGAGGCCGGAGATTCCAATGCAGAGAATAGAATCCATTATCCGTGAGCAGAGGTTAGAAACCGCTTGGTTACAGACTGCAGAGAAAGGCACACCTGGATCATTGAGTCATTTGAGACCTGAGAAGAATCAAGTACTGCCTCAGGAGGGTATCTATCAACAAAATCATATAGAATCCATTCTTTCATCAGGATTGCCGTCACAGCAATGGGAAGATGAACTAAATCAGGAACTCAAAGCATTGAAGCTTGAAGATGAAAGAGTGCTTCAAAAGGACCAGAATGGTAAAAGGAGTGATCATTACCCTATGTCGCCAAGCTTATTGCATGATAGCAGCTTTATGGGCAATTTCAGCAAAGAGAGCCTGTAAGTATTTCACTGTTCTATATACTAATTGTATTCTTACGTTTTTTGCTATCCTCTACAAACTCCTATAGGCCTCAAATGATTCGAATGACGTAAGTCTAGAAATTGACCACAGTTAGCTTCCTTGAAAACTTGTTGAACTACTTGCTAGTTTGTTTCCAATATCTAGTTTAAGTTTAGTTCTGCATTCTTGCTTCTTTCTGTTAGATTATTGCATAACACCGTGGATTAGTGTTCCATGTATGGTAATAATTTCTCCCAAATGCTTAATAGCCTTGGGAGAAGCACATTTAAGTTTTAGAAAAAAATTCTTAATAATGTCATCCAAAATAATTGTTTCTTGTGTTCATAAACTCTAAATAATATGGCATGGTCTTTTTCTTTAGAATTTAAGAAAAAAAATTAACTTGTATCGAAAGATAATAGTCGCGGGTTTTTCATTTAGGCTGTATTCAGTTTACGCTAAATCCTGGTGTTTCTTTTAGGGGATATGAATCAGGCTCAGCAGCTGGAGGTTGCAGTGGGCTTTTCTGTTGGAATAATGGCAAACCTTATAAGAGGGGAAAGGTAAGCTATCCCTATCCCCATAATTCCCTCCTTTTTTTTTTTCATTCCCTCCTTCTTAGTACTTTGAATAGCTTGCAGAATGTGTTATTGCTGTTTGTGAATTAATAGGTCAAAGGAACCCCTGTTCGAGCACGCAAAGGTGGGCGATTTTCATTATTTGGTGAGTGTGCAAAGGGAAAGAAAAGTGAGAGCAGACTTAGAAGATAAATGGAAAGTTTCAATAGTTTGGAGTCAAAAGGCCTTCTTGTTTCATTACCTATATATAATAATTTTCTGTGTATTCTAGTTAAGTCATTCTTCAAGAAATGAAAAGCTTATGTGGTTGGACTTCTGCATTTCTTTAGCTCCAGCCAATACTTGTGCAATGAATAAAAGAAATGTGGGGTTAAGTTGAATATACAAATGGGAACTTTACTTTGTTGGGGCATTTGGGGTGCTTTGCTTTGAAAGGGTGGTGCTGAGTTGCATTCTTTGGGATGATAAGGGACTGTGATGAGACCTCCCATTAATAAAGTCTATCAATATAAAGGGCAGTAGGGTGCTGGGTGTGTGAGTGGACATGTGTGCTTGTGGGAGTTGGTTGGGAAATATTCGCGTGTTGGGGAATCAAGTTGTTAGTGGGAGGAATATTCTAGTTAAGGGATTAGTATATAAAGGGAGGGGACTTTAGGGAAGGAGAGGCATATTTTCAAAGGGTCATTAAGGGAGGTCCCTAGCTCCTCAAACTACTGGGAATTATCTATTCTTTTGGCTTGTTACTATTTCTATTTTGTTTTGTTAAAATCTCATTTCTATTTGATCAATACAATACAATTTTAATTCTAGAATTGGATTGCCATATTTTGCATTTTGGACTATTTTGTGGTTGGGTTTGTTTTAAATTGACAGAGGTTCCCATCAGACTGCTCACTGCTCATGCAGACTTGTAATACTTAGGATGCTTATCTAGCTCTTGTTGCTTAGATCTCTTTATGGGACACTAGAAGCACTGTTTTAAAAATTGACCCGATGAGAGACCCGGCAAGACGACCGGGTCTTGGGTCAATCGATTGGACCAGTTGGTTGGACCGATGACATCAGCATACTGATATCATGCTCAGATAAGAAATAAAAGATGAACCTGGAAATTTTAAATCCATTTTTATTATTCAATATAAAGTTAGGAAATTAAATTAAATAGAAGAAAAAACAAGAAGAAAGACACGAATTTACAATCCAAAACAGCCACCTAAACTAACCTCAAAGAGGTCTATACCAAAAAGATGGCAGCACAAGACCTTTGGAGGACTTCAGGAGAACAAAAAAAAACTGCACATGCTATACACAAACAACAAAGCCCCCAAAAAAGAGCCCAACACCAGCACCACAAAAGCAAACTCCAACAAAGGGTTGCAACTCCAAACCGAAGGAATCCTAAAGCCACAATTGCAGACTTCCAACAGCAGAGAGCTTGGCACCACAACGGCAAAAATCCGCAAAGAATTGCAGCCCCCAACAAACGCAAAGATCAACACCACAATTGCATGAATCTAGAGCAGAGAGCTACAGAATTGAAGACTCCAGACACGCAAAAGAAGAAGAAGCTGAGGGGAAAAGCCAATACAACCAGCATACCCAAACAGAAAACTCTTAACCAAGAGGGGAACATACCCAGGCATCAGCACAAAGAAAAATCCAAAAAGCTATTGATGTTGGATGGGTGTTCTGGTGTTTGTTTCTTTGCTTGTTACTCTACCAGTCTTTGAACTTAAAGAAAAACTGACCTTGATGAGTTTGATCTCCTTCCTAGTTCGTTCTCCCTACTCGCGTGGTGTCGGTATTGCCAAAGTCACGATGAAAGAGGATGCTGCACTTTGGAGATGAAAATGGAAGCTGCAGTTTGCGGTTTGGAGAAGAGAAGAACGAAATGAAGCAAATTAAGTTTAGGAATTGGTTTTTTAGGGATTAGATTTGCTAGTTGGTGAACCGGTTTAAGCCCTAGGCCGGTCGGACCAGCGGATTGACACTATTCATCCAGTCACCAGAGTTAAGACCGGGTCCCAATCGAACCAGTCGAATCGGACGGTCCGGTCCGGCTTTTAAAACAGTGACTAGAAGTTGAATTTTTTGGTTTCATTACATTTAACAGCTATGCTTACATGTGTATATTACTAAAATGATACGTACAATTCATTTTGTGTTACTATTACATTGATTGTATACCCCGTCCTTATTGGGATCCTGACTATATTGAATGGATGACGTGGTACAAATAGTTGTACTTCAGAGTTTCCTGGAATTACCCAATGGATTTACTCACTTTATATGGTGCTGTTGGTTGGATGGACTTTTGACCCTCAAAAGAAAAACAGAAGGATGAAGTGTATGTTCAATGAAATGATCTGCAAGACTAGAAGTGCTGAAAGTGGATTTGCATTAATATTCAAACTTTTGCATGAATCTTTTCTCTCCTTATTTCCCTTCTTTTCATCGTCTTACTACATCTTTCTCTATGCTTGCCAAGGGAGAATTTTGCACATATGTATCCTAATACAAGGCTTACGGATTCAAAATTATTCTAATATGTAGTTCAAACTGAATGGAAACGTGAATACAAAAAGATAGAGAATGAACTAAACTTTATTTGCAGGCTCCAACCTCATATTCAAGATTCTCTCTGCAAGTAACAAATCATCGGGGGTTGTAACCTGCATGCCAGAAACACAAAATCAATGTGATTACTTTTTTCATGCATAGTGTGAATTGATACATGTTTTGGAAACTAATATATAGAATAGAGCTCCCCCTTCCTTGATGTTTGTGTAAGATCCTTCAGTGATGTATACAGGATGTTTAAGATGCTCTACGATTGACACATCATCGGTAACTTCAAGACCTTCGCTGTAATTAAGTAGAAATTCTAAGAACTTATTTTAGTTTAGGATGTGATTATAGAATTCATAAACTTCCATTTATAACTATTATTTCTAGGTATAAATTTAATGAAACGAGTTAAACACTAGCAGTCTGAACAGGGAAACCAAGAATCATTAGTACCTATTAACAAGTTCAAAACCTTTTTTAAGCAATTCAGGTTTAATCACCTGCACATAAAGACTTAACAGAAGTTACCACAAAGACATATTGGATACAGTGAATGATGAAGTGTGTAACAAGAATATGAATAATATATTATTTCTTTCAACAGCAAACCTGAGGCGTTTGCATTTCCCAAAGTGTTTTCCGGTCAAGGGTTCTGACTACAAATGATTCACTGTTTGCCTGCGCATGGGCCAGGATATAAATTTTTTATCTATAATAACAATGAATCAAGAAAGTTTAAACATTATACTGTATTACAAAATTATGTATCAAAGAAGATCAATCTAGCTGACAGTACATCCTATAGAATATGCAACTGCTTTTATGATGGTATATCACAGGGCTAAAGGAAAAGAAAAGAATTTCTTGTCTAGCAGATTTGCAATTTCACTTAAATCAGAACAAAAAGAAAACCGTGGTGTTTGAATATCTACAGAAGTCCTGAATATGACAACGAAAATCCCTTGCCGAAAAGAGCGAACAACAAGAGTGTGGCATCAACCATCCAAACTTCCTGGCGGCCCCAAAAATATTGTGACATCAACAAGAATGCAAGACTTATATCTACCTCTTTAATTGTAGCTTTGGAAGGAACACCAAGCGCAGCTGCTCCAATCAGCCATCCATCCTTAAGGACCTAATAAGCAGTTGAACACAATAAGCCTCTTACACAGAAAGTCCTAAGGAACAAAGATGAAATAGTAACAACCCGTTGTCCAGTCCAACATAACCATCTCTTTTTTCCATTTTTTAACATCCCTCGCTACTAGAATTGTAAATGGACAGTGATTATCATCAATGACTATAAATTCAGCATATAAAATGTAAAATTAATAAACAACTAAAGCCCTTGTAGCACAAAGTTTTCCAATTCATACCTTTTCTACATCACCAGATGTTACCAGAGGTCTTGCAGAATCATGGATACAAACAAGCTCAGAATTCGAATCAATTGCCTGGAAACAAAAGTATCATATTTTGGTTTGAGCATATTTTATCATCAAGAATAATACTGTGTATATCAGTCACTAATAGCACAGCAAGCCATCGAGTAAAGGAAAAAAATAAATAGATAAGGTACAATGGTACGATAATATGATCATGGAAATTGGTCCACAAGGCAACCGAAAAAGCAAGTACATATTATGACCAAAACAAACTTTTCTTAATCAATGAGCATAATTCATGCACCTGAAATCCACTGTATACAGAATCCTGCCTCTCCTTCCCAGGCAGTGAGAATTTAAGGTCTACACTGATATTTTCTTTGGAGTCTAAGAACAAAATGAACACATTAGTTTATACATCTCCTGCAGTACTGCTACAAATTCAAAGCAATGTTACAGAGAGGAATACAAACTTGTCTGAGCATGCATACACAGATGAGTGCAGTGTGCTCAAGTGGGAGTATACACACACACACACACACACACACACACACAATGAGATAGAGAGAGAGAAAGATAGACAGACAGACAGAGATGAAACCTTCAAAGATATCTTGGTAGGATGGATCACAAACTACAACAATTTCCTTCACTTCAGGCATGTGTGAGAAAGTATAGAAACTAGACAGAAAAAGAAAAATAAAGCATGTATTAGTTTCAGCATCAAATGAACAACATATCCTAGACTTCACCTAATAAAATTGGGAACACTGACGTAACAAAGTAATGCCACTTCTATGTCAGATCCCAATGTCTGTGGTCCCAGTAAGGACACCTCTCACATAATATTTGATTCTTCATATTAACTATAACCAACAGATAATTTACTGTAATCAAGTGGTATAAGAATAATGCATCAATTGAATGTTCTATCTACAGGCCATACAACATTTATCTGTTTTCTAATCAAAATAGATCTTCCAATTGTGACCTCTTGAACCATGAATCGAATATAATTTGTTGGCCTGTTTTATGATTGCCAGATATTTGGTTACCAAGTCTTGCAAGTAAAAGTAGCTAATGCAAAGATACATGGTCCAGCAAATGCAATAATGTTGTATAGTTGGTTCAATTTATTGCTATTTACCTATACAATGCAATAGGTTGGCCCAAGAGTGGTAGATACTGCTTTGGCATGTTCGCCTATTTGAACAAACATAACAAAACCATCATCTGGAAGAAGAAAACAGAGAACTATAGATAATGAAGTAAATGGAAAACTTGAGCCTATAATATGCATATGCATACTGGTTGTGCAAAACACCAACATTAAGAATATACATATAGAGATACCAAAACGTTAATGCATGAATACAGAAAATAACAATCAATTAAACAAAGAGATAACACTTGACACATAAATGTGCACTCTTGATACCAATAGCATACATAAATTTTGTTGGGTAAACTTTTGCGACAAAGAAAAAAGAAATGAATCCAGAAAGTGGAACAACAACTTATTAAGTAAGGTCCTGTGAAAGCTTAAAGCTATCTGCA